AGTTATAGCCATGAAGCCACAAAGACCTGCAATTTAATTTTTAAATGCTGTATTATAATTTTTAAAAGATTCTGATGACCGGTTTTACAAATGCAGCCGAGGTCTTAAATGTGTTGACCTAATCTCATTAATTACTTGATGACAGTGGCAGTTAATATTCGTGTTTGAGTGATAAATAGAAGAGGTCGGTGAAGCTTATTATCAGTGTCATAAATCTCACACACAATTACATTAGCAGTCAGTGGTCGTCCCCCCCCCCCAGGAGGAAGCTACAGTAACGCATAAAAACAGGATATATGGTGTAGTGGTTTGTGTGCTGGATTAGGACTGGGAGGATTTGAGTTGCCCATTCAGCCCTGGAGAAAACCACTTGGGAAAACCACTTTTTGTTAGCCTAACCTGCCTCACAAGGCTGTTGAGGGAATAAAACGGGTTCCTTGGAAGAAAAGATGGATATAAATGTAACAAAACATCAATTAATCCCAGCTCTTCCTGTAGGGAGCAGCTTTCTCTTCATAACCAGAAATAAATTTGACAACATGCAACCCCTCCTTTGCTTTAAATGTTTGTTCAGTCAATTATTTAAACTGAGGTAGACAAGCCGTTTGACATATTATGCAGAGGTAAACTCAGGTTTATTACAAAATGAAATCTCAGCAAGCAGCTGCAGCTAATCATATGTATAGTGCAAATAGGTCCCGAAAGCTGGGAGCAGGTTGGCTTCTCAGGTTCTACAAATGCCGGAAACTTAAAAAAGAATAAAGAAAATACTAAGAATATCATATAGTAAAAGGCCAGAGGCATTCCTTTTAGGAATTTTTAACGATATTCCAAAAGACAAAACTATTTTTTTCTTATATGCGACGTCTGCAGCAAGACTCCTGGTGGCTAAGTATTGGAAAGGGAAACAGTTATCCCTTAGGGGAGAAGGGTTATGTAAGCTTTCAGAATATTTAGAATTAGCCAAATTGACAGATATAATAAAATAAAAAGCAAAAAGTGAAGTGAAAAAGGAATGGGAGTGCCTAAATGAATACCTTAAAAGCCAAGGTTCGAGGACAGAAATCTGGCTGAGTTTGGAATAACCTTGTGAAGTGAAAGGATAAGAAAGAGGGATTTATATCTAGATGCTAGGATAGAGATAAGGAAAACAGGAAGATACAATGAGAGGTAAAGGAGGTGCTGTGGGATTGGTGGAAGTCAATGTTTGTTTTCCTTTTTAGTGTTTATATTATTAATTTGTAAGATTTGGATTTGTTTTTTCATATGCTTGTTTTTGTGTTTTGTGTATTGTTATTTTTCTTTTGTTGTGTGGAAAATACTAATAAAATTTACTATTTAAAAAAGAAGAAAGGAATGCATTTACTAGCTGAGGGAACACAAGGGGATGTCAGGGGTGTGACTACAGCCATGGAACTTTTCTAAATTCAACCTCAACTTGCCATTGGTGTGGAAAGGAAAACCTCGCATTGACTCTCTAATAATAATGACACGTGAGGGGATGACAGTCAGCTACGCATTCACTCTTAAAAAATATCGGATCAAAACAACAACTATTCCACTATGAATGGTATGTGAGGAAAAGTCCCAAGTCTTCAGATAACAGCAATATTAGATACTGAGCCATATGCATTGCTTCAACACTTTCTCTTCAAATCCTTAAAGAACCACCTTGCAAGGTGGTCAGTATTATGATTATCTCCATCTTCTCCCTGTTTCCTGAGGTAAAGTGGCCACTGTTTTCATGAAAGAAAGAGGAATTGGGTTAAGGAGCAGGCTATGTTCGGCGTTCCTCTCTCCCCTGACCTTATTCAGGGAGTTCCAAATAAAAATACTAACTAATAAAATAGGGATAACACAAAGCCTGACCGTCTAGGATGCTGCTTTGAAGTTACCCATAGGAATGTGGTGCTTTACCACCACCTAGTGTTGGTTTATGATACCTATCAAAATACCATTTCGTGAAATAATTTCCCTTGTTTATTTTTTAAGGTGAATGGGGAATGTGCATAGGCTATCCCAGTGTGATTCACATGACACCTCTCCCTCCAGTTGCTTAAAAAGCATGTGAGGGAGATGTTTAATAATGGGTGTGATGGCACAGCCAGTGGATTCAGCTTCCCCTCTCCTGATCATTGCCAATTTAAGATCAGGTCCAGCCTGTAATCCAGAGGAGCGTCATCTTTGGAGGCAACCCCCATTTGATCAACTTTTGAAAGCCTTCATTTTAATAGCATTTGCAGCCCCAATACCAAAATCTGCATGTAGGCTTTAAAAATTGAAACTAGATACTGCTTGCTCAACAGAGGTAAGGTAAGGTAAAGGACCCCTGGACAGTTAAGTCCAGTCAAAGCCAACTGGGGTTGCGGTGCTCATCTCGCTTTCAGGCCAAGGGAGCCGGTGTTTGTCATAGACAGATTTCCAGGTCATGTGGCCAGCATGACTAAATCACTACTGGCGCAACATGACACCGTGACGAGTGCCAGAGTGCACAGAAATGCCGTTTACCTAACAAAACATGCTCCACCATAGTGGCGTACATTAATAACCTTTTTTGACACCTGGGAATTTCCATCTGATTTATTCCCAACAAAAAGGACTCTGGTTATTCTGGAAAGGTGCTTTTAAACATTCCCCCACCCCAATTCATTATAACTTATTTCCTAATAATAATTTCCCTTTTACATGTCCACCACATATGAAAGAGCATACCCTCAACCTCATTACATCTCCAGCACTTATCTGATTCAGTCTTATACATCTTAGCAAGTCTGCTTAGAGTTAAATACCATCTGTAAATCTTTTTCAGGTAGTTCTCCCTGAGTTATACTGTCATGGGAGGGGGGAACTTTTCTCTATGCACATTCTCCAGTTTAGAAACTTCTATCATGGCACTTCTTACTCGCCTTATCTTTAAATGAAATCTCCAAATGCTGATGATGATCTCCTAATGTCTGCAGATCAAGCTGCTTTCAAAGGCAGAAAGGTTTCAAAAAATAAACATCCAACCTACATCCAACCTCCGTGCGAGGGCAGTGACTTAAAATCTGAAGGTGCCAATGTTTATTACATCTGGGATTAGGTGTTTGCATTGTACGGCTCTTCACGGAACACCTCCTGGGTACAGCTATATTTGTAACAATGCTAATTGGAAATGTGGCCTAGAAAATAATAGCTCTATCAGTCACTTAACAGTCCCAGGAGCTCCTTTGCTTTTTGTAAGGTTGGTTTGAAAAGCTTCATAGCCTGAAATTGACAAGGAGATACTTGAAACTGTCAAGCAAAACCAAAGATTTGCACAGCCAATGTGGTGTGCCATCTGTCCTGCCCGTCCAGAACTCCTATGCATTTAAATAAGGGTATGAGAACAAGAAATCCCACTGGAGCAGCTATTTCTGAATTCTTAACAGTGATGGCAGAAGCTTCACTTCACTCAGGGTACAGAACTTGTGGCCCTCCAGATACAGTTAGGACTACAATAGCTGACCTCCAGCTACTGCTAACAAAAGACCCTCAATTTGGGAGATGGATTATTGCTCCAACTTTCTTTCGGAAGTCTTGAGGATCCAGTTCTTCCTCATGGTCATGTGTAACACAGGAACACTGCAGGTCCTTTTTCAGCAACCAGATGGCATCCACCTGCCTCGAGAAACAATGGAGTTTCTGGGTGCCTCTGGGGGTGAAGTCAAATCACTGGAGAATCACAGCACCTGCTGTGGCTGCAGAGATCAGTACCTCAGAACTGCAGTCGCCTGTGTTGTTTTTGCTGTGTTAGCAACACCAAAGTGACCCCTCCGAGGTGCAAGCCTGGAGGTTCTGGGCTGCCCAGAAGACAAGACCCCTCTCTCAGCCTCACTGATGTGGTCCAAAGAAAAGCAGAGCAATATATTTGGCACCAGCTTGACTGCAGGAGTTGCTGGAATGAGGCATACAAGGCGTCATCCAAGCATTATAGGGACTCAACTCTGGATTTGTGCAGGATTTACTCCTTAGCCTTTTCTTTTCCTGAAGCCATCCCACAAGGCAGTTTTACGTGCAAGCTCCTTGTGTCATGAATGAATTTCATTTCATTATTATTTTATTACAGATACTCCACTGAATATAGCTTCACAGAGCCTCCAGGGCAGCTGGCTAACACAAATAATAATAGAAATATCCCCTGAGTTTGAGAAAGGTATACATCTTTCTTCAGGTAGGAAACAGCTGTAACACAAATTTTGGTGGCGCTGTGGGTAAAACCTCAGTGCCTAGGACTTGCTGATCGCATGGTCGGCGGTTTGAATCCCCGCGGTGGGGTGCGCTCCCGTTGTTCGGTCCCAGCACCTGCCAACCTAACAGTTCGAAAGCACCCCCGGGTGCAAGTAGATAAATAGGGACCGCTTACCAGCGGGAAGGTAAACGGCGTTTCCGTGTGCTGCGCTGGCTCGCCAGATGCAGCTTGTCACGCTGGCCACGTGACCTGGAAGTGTCTGCGGACAGCGCTGGCTCCCGGCCTCTAGAGTGAGATGAGCACACAACCCTAGAGTCTGTCAAGACTGGCCCGTATGGGCAGGGGTACCTTTACCTTTACCTATTCCAAAGTTGTGAGTGGTAGAGCATATATGTAACCAAATGACCTTGTAAAGACTGCCAAGCAGGATAGTCGTGCTTATCCTCCTACCCACCTGTTTTTCAGTCAGTAATTTTCCATTGCAAACTAGAAATATACATAACTTACTTGAACTGATTTCCTGCATGAAGTTTCTAAGTTGCTGAGGGCAATGAATTCTGAAAATGTAATTTGCTTTCGAATGCCTCCATAAAGCTACCCTTCCCCCTGATCTTTCTGTAAACAAGCAAACAAACCCACCTCTCCAGTGGATCAGGGATTTTCCTGAACAGCAAAAAGAGAAAGATGGGCTGTACCTTCTTCTCCCACAACCACTGGATATATTGGAAAGGCCAATATTGTCTCATTGCCTCCGTTTTATGTGCTTTGTGTGTAATAAAAATGCTAAGAAAAAGTTTTACAAATATTTTAATAAAGACTTCAGCTGGGCAAGTTAAGAGCAGGAAGAAATTCATTCTCTAATTTACTTTAGGGTACAGTCTATTCCCCCCCCGACATGTTTTAATTTCTTCTTTCCGCAGAAGAGAAGATTCCCCACGGCTGCTACGATTTAAAGCATCAAATGCTAATGCAAAATTCGAAGAATTACAAACATAGGGTTTTCTTTAGAAACGCATATGCAATGCCCTGCAACACCCTGCAACTTAAATGAATAAATGAACTTGATTAAAAGGATACAGAACTGATACACACACATTTATGCTTACCTGCTCCTCTGGGCTCACTGCTACCTCTGCAGTTGCTTCCACACAACCCCAATCACATGCAATGATTTCCACTCACCTGGTTCTTTCAGGTGGCATGTTTTACACAAAACACTGGACATCACCTGCATGTCAGGTAAACTCAGCACCAAGAAGAACCATGTGGGTGTGGGTGTGTGTCTGTACATGCACGTTGACTGACTTGAGAGCAGCAACAGGAGAGGAAGCAGCAATCATTCTAGAACAGGTCTGTGCTTAAAAGGGGTCTGAGCATCCAGTGGCTGAGAAGGGGAGAATTAAGTGTTCCTTATCTTGCACCCCTGAAATGTCCCATCACTTCTTTAACTTCTATGCATTTTGCTGTGGTTTCTTCTTCATCTTCTTCTTCGCTTTTGCTTTTGACATGGTGTCCAACGCAGACTGAGAACGTTCTTCCGAAATATCGGACAAGAGCAGTTTCCCAGACTGGGTTGGGTATTTGGTCTTCATCAAGCTTTTAAAAACGGACTGAGAGAGCAAGTGTTTCAGATGTTTCTTCATTCCCTTTAGCATCTTCTGTTTTTCACTCTCATTTTGCTCGTCGGGTCGGCCTCCTGTAGACACACACACAGGGAGGGGGGAAAACATAAATCCCAGCACAAATAATCAAGAGGGGTTCTAGAAGTTTTGTTACTTAAAGCTAGGGGCTGGTGAAAAGCATAGGGAAATCTACTGATAGATCACTGGACAATTTACAGTACATAGTTAAGGGTTTCTGACTCCCAATAGTTAAATGATGACATGTAAAACAAGATTCATTGTACACCTTTAGGCACCAGGCAAACCACTCCTCTTTAATCTTGCCTTGGCAAGATGAAACATGAACACCTGCTACACTTGGACTCATTGATCCTTCAGGAAGCATTAAAATATGAGACTGGCATTACTGAGGTTTGCAGCCTTTTCTTTTTCTGAATGTCTGAACTAGCGCTAAGCTGTGCCCACTCTTGCTGAGTTTGAATGAAGCTTATGCCTTACCTGCTCTCCCCCCACTGCCCAACTTGTATACAACCTCAAACATTTTCCAAATGCATTTTAGACAAATACAAGAGTCCATAAATAGAGCTCTTTAGATGTGTGAGAGTACCCAGGTTATTGCCTTCATTGCTGCATCCAGGAGATATGCCCCTTATTACACCTTTCTCGGGGTGGTTCCTCCCTCCCAAGCCCAAACACACACACAAACTGCTACTTGCCTATAAGCTCATCATCATCTAAATCAAGCTCCAGTGCTTCTGCAGCTTGCTGGAGCCATGAGTTGTGCTGCTTCGCTCGGCTGTTGAAATATTCCATCTTCTCAATCTTTCTTGCCAAGTTCACCCGCTCCTGCAACGAAGCACAGTGAGGTTATGCAGGGACAGGACGTGGGCACGCAAAGCAGTACATGGACAAAGGCAATATAAGGGCTAAGTTAGACGTGGCACTGTTTTCACTGGGTGGGTCTTTCACAATTGCTTTTTCTTCAACAAATAGATGGTACAGGTCTGGGGATGTCTCTGGCCATTGTTATTATTATTATCATTATTAATATTTTATTTACCTGCCCTTCACCTTGTTAGATTGCTTTTCTCATAATAGCAGGGGAGATGAAAAGGCTTCCACACACTTTGCCTTTGTAAGGAATTCACGAATTCTAATGAACTCATGGGACCCTAGGTTAACCATTACTCCCTAAATTTTGCCATCCCTGTTATGTTCTGGACATTCTTCAAGGTGATGGTTTGTAAAGTAACCCTTGGACCTCAGTCTACAAACATTACTGGCTTACAAAGGGGTCAAGCTGACTTGGAATGAGGAGACCACCTGGGTTGGAACTGGCACTCAGTTGCAAAGTTCACTGGGTGATCTTGGGTAAATCATGGGCTAGTTTGTCCGGCTACCTTGTTTTGCAGGACTGCCATTAAGCCAAAATGGAAAGGGGGTCTAAGTACGCTGAACTTAAGCTCCAGCATGCCTTACATTGGTCTTTTATGGAACATCAGCAGACTCAAATGGGGAAGGAGGAAGCCAACAATTCTGAATTAGAAAAGCTTTCCCCACTGACAACAATTAGTTATCTTCCACTTGTAACATGGTGATGTACAAGCTCGCCTTAAGAAGTTTGGGTACAGTGTAACTTAAGTCAACCAAGCTCTGTGCATATAAACATATCCTATGTTTCGGTGGTTTAACTGGACTTTTGTTCAACTGCAATTATTAATAAAAAGATTGGAAAATTATTTGTAAGACTACTGCTGCTTCCTCTATTTTGTTACCCAAAACATTTGGGATGGAGCAAGCTACTACCTCAAAACAGACAGAAAAAAATAATATAGACCCAGCTTCAAATTACATAGCATTCAAAACAAGGAAAATGACAAAGAAACTGGAGGGGAAATATATTTATTTTTCACTGTTATTTTATTAATTGAATTTATATTCTGCTTATCCTCCTAAAGGAGCCTTTTCTACAATGCAAAGCAATGGAAGCGATTATGCTCCACTAAGTTATATCGGAACCACCAGAGCAATTCACAAAGTCTTTTGCCCTTAGCTTTCAACACATTTTAATTCAACCATTCTGCTAGATGAATGTTCTAGATGAAAAATGAGATCTGGCAGGGCGCTGCCAACATTAAGAGCTTAGAATGTAGGCACCAAAGAAAGTCCCACGCAAGTCTGCAAATGGGACATGGTGATTTATCTATGCCTATATTCCATATTTAATAAGGGATTAAATTATTAAAGCCGCAGAAGTGACAGCAGGGTGATGAGCAATTTGAAATTCTTAAGCAGCCAAATAAAGGAAAAATTAGTCCTGAAAAATATTCATTACCTGCAATCAACTACTGAAAACTAAGCTCATTAAAAACAGCTTTGATTTTAATGTCTCCACATAACTCCTGCTCTCCTCTTGTCTTTCCTCTACTTGTGATAACATAATGTCTTCTTTTCTAGTCTTCCAACCCTGGCTGGCAAGATCTAAAGGAGAGATGAGCACTGAAGAAGCTGAACCCTGGCTCTACTCGAGTAGAGCAGCACATATCTGTCACGGATGATTTGGTTTAGATTCCTGCATTGCAGGGGTTTGGACTAGATGACTCATGGGATCCCTTCCAATTCTACAATTCTATGATTCTATACCCAACTTTATGCCACCCTGCTTTCCACAACTTGTCACAGGTGACCAGGACATTAATGCGGGCTAATATGTTGACTGGCAGAGAAGGGATGGATCACTCTGTCTCTCCTCCACCAGCCCACTTGCTAGAAGCATTTTTTAAAACAAAAAATTTACAGCAAGCTTGGCTCATGAACAGCCATCTCAGTCAGAACCACTGTTCCAGATCTCACTTCCCAACCAAGTTCCAAAATCAGTGTTAGGAACAGACATCTGTTACAAAGCCTTGAGCAACTGTGAAAAGCGCTGCGGTTGAGAAATAAAATAAAAACCACGAACACACTACTTTCAAAGGAAATATCTATTTCACCTTGATTGCCGTCATGCATTTTGTTTCGACTGGGAAAAAAGGAAGCTCTTCGTTCTTCTCCAGCGTCTTGTAAATCCTTTTGAAATTCATCATGTCGCTTGGGCCAATCAGAAGCAAGCTCAGGCCCTCATTGGCAGCTCTGGCGGTCCTGCCGCTTCTGTGCACGTAAATCTCAGAGGTGCGAGGAACCTGCAACAGCGAAAGAGATTAAGCACTTCTGTGGGAACGGGTCTGAAGTACACAAAAAGAGAACAACGCATAACGCTCCCCAGCAACAAGCAATTTCACACCTACTATGGCACTGTTTCAGTTTATCTCAATGTGCGCTAACTCTTGGGAGATATTGGATTCCACAATTATGTGCAAGCCCAGAAATGTCAGAGATATCTGAAACGACAGGCTGGTTGGCACATGCCACAGTTACAAACAATGCTACTAACCAAAAAAAAATCATTTCTGCAGGGCTGAGCAACAGCAGAATAAAGAAGAAAGGAGCAACACTCAGAAGGTCCAAGTGTGTCTGTTCCTACATTCTCTTAAGTTTACCTAACAGACTACTAGTCTTGAGAACCTACATGGGAATATTTTAATGACAGTCCATCTATAGGCAGAAGAATGGAAAACATATAAATTATATTGTTGACATCTGTCTTGGAAGGCAATGGAGGAGTGCGCCTTTGTTATATACAGTGCAACAAACAGACACACACCTAGGCTTTAAGAATTAAAAAACAGTGTAAATAATAACCTATTCAGTTGCAATTAAGAGCTAAATTTGCACCATGAAGTATAAATGGAAAACTTGATTTTCAATCCCCCTTAAATCAATGATTTAAATCAGCTTCCCTGCCTCCCTGTTAACTGAAATCATCTTGATTTAAACCAATCCGCCATGCCTCTCTTTCTTCTTCTGTGTTACAACCCAAAGACAGGCCACGAAGATCGCTTGTGGTCTTCAATTTACCGCCAGCCATCAATGTATTACAAATTCATGAACAGAGAACAGAAGTACATTTTGTTCTGGTACCTGGTAATGTATGACATGCTGCACGTGAGGAATGTCAAGACCACGAGCGGCAACATCTGTTGTCAAGAGGGCACAGCTGAAATTGCAGAAGTGGAGACAATGGTTGTTTTACTAAGGAAAGGGGAGGGGGGGAAGAGCTCCCTAAAGTGCATTAACACTGAATTCAGTATTACCAGAAGGCCAGATACAGTAACATAAGCAAAGTAGGGCTGTGTCATAAGTACTGCAGAATGAAAAGAAAGACAAAAAAGAAGATAACCTATCTATTTAAGACTGCTTTACTTAGCCTGTGAAGGATGGGTGGAGAAACCTTCAGGGGCTAGTGGTTTGTTTCCCGTTACAATTCAGACTGCTAGTTTTCGCCTGCAAGTTTTTGGAGCAAGGTTATCTGAAAGGCTTCTTCCATGTCAGCCTGCACAGGTTTTAAGATCTAGGGGGGAGGCATCTGAAGCACACAGGGCAAATGTTCAGTAGAGAGCCTTCTTGACGGCTGCTCCCAAGCTCTGAAAAAGCCCGGGACACAAATTTTCACAGTCCTCTAGCAGCTATGGTGCATAGCTGTCAACTTTTCCCTTTTCTTGCGATGAATCCTATTCGGAATAAGGGAATTTCCATTAAAAAAAAGGAAAACATTGACCGCTATGCTATGGTGGCTCATCTACCAGAAGCGATGTATTTAGCGATAGCTCTTGACGTGTATACCAGATTCTGACCAAACTAAGCCTCCCAATGCAAATCATGTTCTAGGAGGCTTAGTTTGGTCAGAATCGAGTATAAACTTCCATAGTCAATGCTAAATAAACTACTTCTGGTAACTGAGCCAACATAGCTGCTAGAGGAACGTGAAAATGTTTGTTCTGGGCTTTTTAGACTCGTCTACCAATGTACTATCTGAAACCAGATGTGAAATATATTGGCATTATTTTCAGTCCTCCTACCCACACTATATAAATAAGTCTAATTTGTCTTTTATAATGTTTTACCTGCTTTGGGGTTTCTTTTTAATACTTTGTATCTTTTTCATTTCATTGCAATTTATCATTTGATTGCAGGAGTACGTTACTGCTGATCGCTGCCTTGAGCAGCATTTGCTAAGGAAACCAAACATCCAACCCACGTCAGTCGCTCCAACTCACGGTACGTTTGCTTACTCCCCTGCACAAAATAGTTGCCCTGTACACTAGGAGTCTAGGGGGGCAGGTGGGGGAAGATGCCTGGCCCAATTCCAGTGGCCCTGAGGGAGGAGCTGCTGCCGCCTGGCTCTCTAGCTGTCACCCTAGAGGCAAAAGAAAGGTGGAGTACACACACTGCGTGTGCAGTCACAAAACACGGTGTGTCACCCCTTCTCTAGCCAGTCCTCAAGGATAACTAGCCGTTAATCAAAGCTATACAGTGTGTGTGACGACTACACATCATAGATTCTTGCTCTGTCTATACTGGTTGCTAGTTTTGTTTGTGGGAGCGATTCAAATCCTCAGGACTGCAATATCTCAAAGGCTGCTTCTCCCCATGTAAACCATGCTGTGTTCAGCACCTGAGGCCCTTCTTCGTGTGCCTCCTCCACATGAGGTCCAGAGGGCAGCAACACGAGAACGGGTCTTCTCTGTAGCAGCTCCCCAATTGTGGTATGTTTTTCCAGGGAGGTTCGCCTGGCACCTTCACTATATATATTTTAGGCGCCAGGAGAAAATGTTTCTGTTCAACCAGGCCTTGGGCTGATTAATATTCTACAGCCTTTTAAATGTGCCTGTGGGAAGGGTGTGTGTGTTACTGTTTCACTGTTTTGTTTTTAATTATTCTGTATTTATTCTGTGAACCGCGCTGAGATCAAATCAATCAATAAACGTTCCCATTCTTACTGATAAAGCCCTAAAGGTATTTGAAGGTCCACCTCCTATTCTTTATTTAATTCACAGCTTGACGTTCCTCCCTGAAGAGTCCCCAAGGAAGTTGACAGCATCAAGTCAAAGTATCCAGGACACAACAATTAAAATGAAAGTCATGATACCCCACAGCCTAAAAACGCCAATCCCCTCCCAAAGGCCTGGACAAATAGAACTGTCTTTGAATTCCCCCCAAGCACAGCTAGGGGGTGGGGACTGCACCATTACCTCCAGGAGGGGTTCTGAACACGTGGTGGCCCACTACAGAGAAAGCCCTCTTGTGCACTCTCATCCTCCTTGCCACTTGCAACAGCCATACTGCTTTCAGGGTGTCTGCCCTCCACCGCAAATTATGGGTTGCGGCATATGGAGAATATGGCTTCTTCAAGTACCCATTTAAGACCTTGCACACTAGTTCCAACACCTAGAACTGGGCCCAGTCGCTCCCCAGCACCCAGTGTAGTGCTCTCAAAATTGGAGCCATGTGCCTTTCTCCGGCAGCTCTGCTCTGCCCAGAGCTACTGCATTCCACTGCTGCAGCTTCTGGACCATCTTCAAGGGAAGCCCCGTGTAGAATGCACTGCAGCAATCTGCACGGGAGGTTGGCAGAGCATGGGTAACTGAGGCCACGCTATAGGATCCTGTCACTCAACTGTGTTCAATATCAAAGGCCTTGCTCTGTGTCCTACCTCCGCTGCAGGTGTAGGTGTTTGGCACTTAAGACAGGGCCTTCTCTACTGCGGCCTCCGTGCTTCCCACAAAGAACTCCTTTCCAAATTGGATCCCTCCGTTTTAAGCTTTAGGCAAGTTGTTATTACTTTTCCCCTTAAAAGTTTGGCCCACCTTTAAATTCTGGTAAGTTTTTCAGCGTTTACTTTGCTGCGGCACATTACTCTGCTCTTGTTCTCATTGCGTTTTTGTCAATTCAAGCAATCCGCTTTTGAAAAGCGGCATGATCTTAATCGATAAAATAAACCAAGGGGGGGGGGGAGAGAGAGAGAGAGAGAGAAGCCAACCTGTTGCGTTCAGCAAACCTCTCCAGGTTTTTCAACCTTTGCTTTTGGTGCATGTTTGCATGAAGAGGCAGGAGGTTGCAGTCCAATATCGTCAGGAGGGCAGTGAGCCGCTTGATGCAATCTATACTATTAGCAAAAACCATGGTTCTGCCTGGGTACTGAAGGAGGAAATAATACAGGTAGTAGTCTTTCTCCTCTGTATCGCAGTGGATCCTGGTCTCGGTGAGAGTCTCCACGGTGGCCTCTTTCCTGGTCAAGTCTATCACTTTGGGCTTGCCCTTGATGCCAACTTTTTCCATCAGCATTTCCAGCTTGGTCTTCTTGTCTATTTTGACAGCTCTCTTCTTGTGGAGAACCCTAGTCGGAGCCTGGTGGATCAAAGTCAGGGTGGCAGAAAAGACAAACGTCTGGCGTTTTGGGTTATATTGCGAGTCGCTCAGCATTTCCAGCAACTGAGAGAGTTCCTCGAAATGCCCCCTCTCCACCATCCGGTCCGCTTCGTCGATCACCAGGCACCTGTCAGACGGACGCGAGAGACAGTTTTAAGAGCGTTTCGTTTTGAGATAAGAGGAGAGCCGACACGCTTCAAAAGAGCCCTACCTGCTACGGCGCACACAGAAAAGAACAATGGCCTGCGGTGCGTAAACAGAACCACAAGCCAATGCTTATTCCGTATGCTTGTATAGATACCAAAGTGGGAAACCAAGGTGCAAGGAAACAAAAGTCTGATGGAATTTGCACCACACGTGACGACCGCTAGGCCTGGTGTATCAATGCATCTCCCAGGACTGGTTTGAGGGCCAGAGCACAATGGCGCCTCCACCTGACAGTAGACTGTGGGTGAAACTGCCACCACTCCTGACCGTAAGGTGCCAGAGCTGATGCAGATTGTTATTCCCTTAGCGCACTGGTGGCAGAGGGACTCTTTGCCGCCAGCACCTGGTAGAACAGGTTCCATCAGTGCTGTGGCCAGTGGAGGTCATTATTCCCTTGGCGTGCCAGGCACTGGCAATGGAGGGACTCCCTCTGCCGCCACTGCTTGGCGCACCAAGGGGGGAATGAGCACTGGCGGAGGAAGAGGAGTGCGGGGGGAGTGCCCCGCCCCCAGCAGGGTGCCATTGCTGCTGCCTCCCTGCCCGTGCTGGGCGCCCCGCCCCCGCAGGCGGCACCCCCCACCCCCAGGACGCATGCCATGCCTCAGTGGGTGGCGTGCCCCACCCCCAGGATGCGCACCACGCCCCTGCGGGCGGCGCGCCCCGCCCCAGGACGCACGCCAGCCCCGCCCCCCGGTGCCGGAGCATGAAGCTCTGCCACTGGGAATGACCTGTAGTCTGGGCCCAGAAGGAACCAGGGTGAAACTGCTGCCACTCCCACTAACCCGCAAATGAAATCTTAAATGTAGGCTGTGGCTGCCACCATGGAATGTCTAGGCACCATTTCTTTTCAATGGGATTTGTTATAATCATCATCATCGTCTTGTTCATTTCTATACCACTTAAAGAACAAATCTCAAAACGGTTTACAGCATACTGAAACGTCAAATAAAGCAATCCAGAATACAACAAATTCAGGCTTCAAGGAAAATATTTCAGATCCTTCCCTAAGTGACATTTTGCTTTCCCCAGTTGCCAACCCGGCATCCAGAGATCTCCAGGTGATCACAGCTGGACCCACGGCAGTCGCAAAATGCACCTGGCGCCTGGCTGATTTCTAATACTGGTCGCCACTTGCCAGTGCCTGGAAATTTGCTTTGAAACGTGGCATGAGCTGGGTGGAGGGGGAAATCTGGTAAGTCAGGCCAATTATGGAAACCGTTTCCATCCTCCGCCCACCTCAATTGTTCTGTAGTAGCTTCATGGTCTCTGCTGTTCATCTGAATGAGCCACAGTACGTTCAGGCAGTTGCAACAGAGCTAAGTGGTCCAAGTGCAACATCAAGCATGCGTAAGTATCCCCCGATTCTCAAAGCAGCAACTGTGAACTTCAAGGGAAAGCCCTGAAAGATCCTGCAAAGTGTTTATTGCAGAGGTGGCTAACCATGGTGCCCTTGGTTTTGCTGAACTCCAAATCCCATCAGCCCCAGCGAGAACCACCAACGGTCAGGGCTGCTGGGAGCTGTAGTCCAACAACATCTGGAGGGTGATACATTGACTACCTCTGTACTATTGCTTAAGAAGGAAGTATTTTAGCATTGATGATCTTAAAAATATCCTGATAGTATTTGCTTGTTTGAGAGAAGGAAGACATATTTGAAAAGGGATCTTGAGTACCTGAGTTGCCGCAGGTTTGAGAGATGTGGCTGCTTCTCCTGTATTAGCTCCCACAGGCGCCCCGGGGTCGCGATTACAATCTCGGGCTTCCTTTTCAGAACTCGCTGCTGCTTCTGAGATGCCATTCCTCCAACAAGAATGGTTGCCTTAATGCCTAAAAGACAGAAGACCAACAGGACATTAAGGTCCCTGGAGCACTGTTGTAGCAGCTGTATTTCATACAATTTTCTAGCATGAAAGTCATGAGATGCTGCACCATGTTTGTAAGAAATCACTGGATTTACCTCTCCTCTTTTTAGGAGCACAAACCTCCACAAAAGTATTTCCCAAAGTGTTTTTTTAAAAAACCAACAAACTACAAAGATGACTGCATCTCCAAAACAGCATTTATCCCGTATTCAAGATGGTGTGCACTCCTCCTAGTAGTGTATCATTTTAAAAATCCTTACTGATGTGATGCTGAGCTCCCCCAAAAGTGGAATTCTCAACCTGTATAAATTATGCAAATAACAACCACTCTTATTTTGAATAATTTATCTTGGCTTTCTAGTTGTGTGAGAAAATGAACCGGGCAGGTCATTGAAGCGCCACCACCAATCACTGGACTTCTTACTCAACCACCTCTCTGGGTTCTCAGATGTCCACAGGCCATGCCTGAAGATACCTTCAAACACAGCCTCACAGCAAGGAAGGTTAGAAAGCTGCATTTCAAAAAAGAAAAGAAAAAAAACCAAGGATTTTCTCAGGAAACTGATTGTGCATACGAGTACCGTAGTCTGTGCTTTCCCTGCAAAGAAGACAGAAAACAGTAGGAAACTTTCTCTGCAGAGCATGCTTTCATTTTAGGAAAGGGGAACTGAACAATGTACTTCAACAGTAAGGTAAGTAATGGAAGACAGACCTTTATATGTATGTTAGATGAAAATAAAAACTGATTTTATATATGCTATTGTCTCATCTCTCTTCACTGTATTGTAGAATCACTTCCAGATGCATCATAGGAAGTAATTCACAAATGAAATAATAACCACAACAATAGCATTGATGGATGGCCATCTGTCATGGGAGCTTTAGTTGAGATTGCTGCATTGCAGAGCGTTGGACCCATGGAGTCCCTTCCAATTCTATGATTACCAGGAATTGACATTACCTGTGAATCTGTTCACCGCATCAATGTGATGCTTCACTTGGACAGCAAGTTCTCTTGTAGGAGTCAAGACCAATCCCAGAAGAGGATTGTTTCTATGTGCAGCAGCATTAGGTTTTGGGGAACCCAGATCACGTTCTGCACCCTCCAACACCTTCAGGTTTCCTGCTGCCAAAGACTTGTCACCGTCGCCATCGTCATCGCCACTAGCTTCACCCCCATCAGGGCTCAAGCCTCCTGTATCCACACTCTCTTCCTGCTTGGGTACCTCATCCTCACCATCCTCTCCTTCGTCAAGCTGGCTGTCCCTTCCACTTGCCAGTCCTGTTGACTTGCGCCACTGCAGAATGGAATGGATCATTGGAATGGCGAAGGCAAGAGTCTTACCACTTCCTAAACATGGACAAATGAAACACAGGTTAGAAACCTAGGAACACAAGAGGAGCCTGCTGGATCAGGCCAATGGCCCACCTAGTTGTCACGGGGTTGCCAGGGTACACCTTTCAGGAGCGGGAACAGTCAGAGGGAGATAGAGAGGAAGTGACGGATGGGGAAGAGGGAGAGAGCCAGGAGGCAGGAAGGCTCTCTGATGCTGAAGAAGAGCCCCAGAACCGCACAGGAAGTTCAGGAACAGATGGAGAGCCTGTCCCTGTGCCGTCTACACAGGAAAGGAGAGGGTTAAAATGCAAGGATCAGAGACGTCCCATGAAACTTCCCTGCCTTTTCTGTTGAAGGAGAAGCCGGAGAAGACAACTCCCCGAATCTGAACCGGACGATTCGGACGCATGATTGTAATGTGCTGCTTGTACATATGTAAAATAAAGGTAAAGGGACCCCTAACCATTAGCTCCAGTCGTGACCGACTCTGGGGTTGTGGCGCTCATCTCGCTTTATTGGCCGAGGGAGCGGGCGTACAGCTTCTGGGTCATGTGGCGCCACCCGCGTCCCTCTCTTAATTAAAGCCATGTAAATATATGTAGTTGCCTTATAATGAGTCAAATTGGCGCTTCTTAAAGCAGGCACCTGTCGTTGCTTATCTCACCAAGGCACTTCACAGTGGGTTCCTTTTCAACAGTAGCAATTAATAAATATAAATCATTGTGAAATCTTTTGAACAGATACATATTTTTTAAAACCAACAAATAAGTGCCTGGACTCTTAAAAAGTACTGGTTCCTTCGTAGGCTGCTAGTCTGTAATAAGACTCATCGCAAAGCAAAATGGATGCTGTGCTTAAAAAATATATTAAAAATTGCAGTGGTTTCTGGCCTGCTTGTTGTTGGGTGTGCAAAGGCTGCTCTGAGGCTTCCACCATCCTAAGGTAACATACATAGCAGTGTAATGCTATTGACGTGCAACATGTGTACTTGGTTGGATTTTTCCTTCTATTCTCTCTCTCTTTTTTAAAAGCTCTATAAAAGGAATTGTCTTAATTGACAGCTCTGATCAGCGCTCTCCACACACAGAAATGAAAACTAGGCCAAGGACAAACTGCATTCTACTCAACTCATCTCTCGTGATGCAATTATCTGTTGCTGCCATTGACATTTTAACTCCTTCTGTAGGAAATATGGAGTCACTAACCCAGTGGTTTCCCTCATAAGGAGTGGAGGGACTTTTCCCAAGTGAAAACTGGCAAACAGGAGGGTCTCTCTTAATCCCTGCCCCCCACACCAAGCGCCCCTGCGCATGTGCCCCAGGTCTTGTGGTAAAGGTTGTTCACCCAGGCTGGCCTCTGAATCTGGAAGACAGTCCACCTAGGGAAGGGGGAATTGGCAGACATTTCTTCTATCACACCAATGCTCCCCCTCAGTAAGTGTTGAGGTAATGTGAATTCAGGGGAAACGAAGTTGGGACCTTCTCAATTCAAGAAGCCAGAGGTGGTTAACCTGCAGCCCTCCAGATGTTGCTGAACTATGAATCTTGTAGGTCCCAGACAGCATGGCCAATGGTGGAGGATTATGGGAGCTGTAGTTCAGCAACATTAGCAGAATGGCTCTGTAGCTTTAGCTCTCCAAAAAATGAACAAATCTCTCCCCACCAAAATGAAACAAAACCGAGAGGGGAGATGCCAAAGCTCAAAAGGGGACAGGGTGCAATCTGTCATGTTGACAGACAGGTCTTGGCTTGAATTACAGATAATTATTTTCTCAGGGCACTCCAATCAAAATGTAGAGGTCTCTTACGCTTTTAGGGAAGAAAAGTTGAAATCCCAAAGTCTTAGGGGGCATGGGGAGCTCACACACTCCACCAATAAACCTTCTACCACCACCTTATGATTCATTCTGAAATTCAGAAGGCTTCATCCCCTCAGAAGGGGTGGTGATGCCTGCAAACTGCATCCAATTCAGCCAGAACATCAAAAAAGTAATAGACTTTTCCTTTAGTTAAGATTCATCAAATTTTAAAGATGCCCTTCATGAAAATTCTCTATTGGTCTACAATTTGGCAGGCTCACTGCATTCCAGAAGGGCATTTGTCTCTCAAAATTTTATCCACTTTGGCCAAAAAGGGGGAAATGTTATAGTCACTGCAGGTTCCCCATTACAGTGAATAAGGAAAACACAGAGCTTTGTTTTAGGCATAGTAGCTTAGAAGCCAGAGCACAGACTGAAAAAGAGAGTACAAAGCAACTCGGAACAGATTGGAATATTTAAAAACACACAAACACGCAGATACGAGTTGAATCTTAGTGCCCGTGCAGCTGTCTGTGATTTGTTACTGACAATTGGCAGGTTATAAGATCCATATTTGATGCCTGCCAAATTTAGCGGAGAGAGGCCAACAAATCTAAAACACTGAAATTGCCATATAAAATTTTACAATCAAAAAGCACGTTTCAAAGTTGAAAATTTGCACTTTTGCTTTTAACTTGTATTTTATTCTGTGAACCGCCTTGAGATCTTACGATGGAGAGTGTTATATAAATTTAATAAAAAAAAATAATAAATTGTTGTGGGGAAGAGGGCATTGCTGGTCTTGCCTACAGCAGTAAAATGTCTTGGGCCGGCCCTATCCTCACCACTGATGTCCTGTTGGCCCTCTTCAATTTCACCAGCCCCTGCACCCAAATATTTTTCACCCACAAAAGAAAAAGATGAAATTCTCAGCACACTGTACTTTGTGCTCAATTACCAAAATCCATGCTTCTTTCATTTGCTTATGGAGGTACAGAATCAACACAACTTGGACAGTGGAAGTGAAACAACCACCGTAGCAATGAGTTATACCTGTCTCCGCAGCTCCAAGGATGTCCATGCCATCTCGAATCGCAGAAGGCAGAGCCAGGGCCTGAATCGGAGTTGGCGCACTGAACCCTAATTCACTCAGTGCCTGAAGAACAGGCTTAGGAACGAAAAGGCCTTTCCATGCAGACATGTCCACTTCCTGACCTGAAGATAAAGACAGGACTTCTGCCGTCCAGTTTTTAGCCTTTTTAGAAGCTTTAGCTGGTTCAGCAACATCTTGGGGAGGACATGTTTTCTTCTTCAACTCTCTCTTCCTCTTTTTCTTCGCTTTCCTTTTCAGGATTGTGGTGTCTCCTTCCACTCTCTCATCTTGCTCAAAGCTAGGGGTGGCCTCTTTACATTCAGCCTCCTGCTCAGTTGTTACCAGTTCCTTCACTTTGGGTTCATCACCACTCCTCACCTCCTGTTCCAGATTTTTCTCCTTCTTCCTCTTCTTTTTGGGAATTGTGCTATGTTCTTCCTCTTCTCCAGGCCTCCTACTAGATTTTCTCCCCTTGGCATTTTCTTCTCCCGCTTTTGAGGAAGACACCAGATTATAATCGGTAAGCTCCTCAAAGCATACTAAGCCTCCAAGTTGCTCGTCGGCAAAGAGATTTGGGTCTATCTCAATGGGCTTCCATGTCCCTGTCACTTTGATGCCTCTTCGCTTAAGTTTGGATGGAGTCTTAAACTTACTTGAACCTCGCTTGAGCTTCATGACTGACCTTCAAAGAAGAACAAAGGAAAATATTTCAAAAATGGCTATCAGTTAAATTCATTATATAAAGTACATAACATGAAATTGCACAAAAGGAAGAGATAAAAGAAAAAAGGATACCACTGTGCACTGTTTTAACACTTTATGCAATTATTAAATCTTTTTTTAAAGTGACTCATAATGCAGAAAAAGTGATATATGGCAGTACATCATGAAATTTGTTGTTTTTAGAATTAATAAACAAAGTCTGTTTGGTGCTGCTATAATTGCTTGTAAAAAAAGCCAATCTGGATATTAAAACCATGTCCCAGATTTTCTTAAGCCAATCAGAATTTCTGTGGTTTTCAAGGATTGAGCTATATATTCCTGCCACTGTCAATAAATTTAATATTAATTGTAAATCTACTTTGCTCTGCCTCTTCTTTGATTTGATGGAAGGGTATATCTTTATAAACTGGACTAGGCAGGTGATGAGGCCATTTCAAATCAAAATGTAATTCTCTGCAACTCCTAACTATGAGCATCTCTCCTTCATGCAATCAGCAGTCCAGTTTCTCTTCCCCTCTTGGGTCCTCCCTAAGTTCATTCAGACCATTCCCACCCTCCTTTCCTAGTCCTTCCCTGCTTCCCATGCCATGCTACCTTCTCCCAAGACCCTGCCTTTCCCTAGACCAGAGTTTCCCAACCTACTGCATTCCAGATGTTTTGGACTACAACTCCAATCATTCCAGACCATGGGTGAGCGGGGATTTGAACCCTGGTCTACCTAGCCTGACACCCTAACCACTATTCCAACAGCATTTAGAGGGCACCACATTGGCTAACTAGCACAGACCTTCTCCTTACAGTCGTCCTTACCAGCCTGCTAAGTCCATTCATAGGAAAAGTGACAACAGCTACTAGGACTTATACTGTTAACATTTATCTTGGGGGCTGGGGGAGTTGAATAATCACTCATGTGAGCAACTCCTACAGCAACATGTCTCAATATGCCCTTCATAGGCTTGTGTTCTCTTCCTGGTTCTTTGAACATTTGGTTCTACATATTTTGTTCTGAACAACAATCCTCTCAGATTTGGTAGTGACTGTATTTTTTTAAAAAAAAACTTTCAGGCAGCAAGCATGGACAACGCAAGCTATAACTGGCAGCTGTGGCACTGGATTCATTAGACTCAAAAGCTGGTAGAAGATTACATGTACAAAAGGAATAAAAATTTTCCTTCTGAAATTTGCAAAGGGAAGACATGAAATGAAGTGGTGCCTTGTACTGTCAGCTGCATATTCCCTTATAAAGGATCCTAAACATACAGCTGGGCATTCACAGAATCATAGAGTTGGAAGGGACCCCGAGGGCCATCTAGTCCAACCCCCCGCAGTGCAGGGAATCATAATCTGAATAATATTTATTTGCATCAGCCACTGGCCGTAGCAATAAAATAAAATAAAATGTACTGAAGACAGAGGTAAAAGCTTAACTGTACAAAATACATTTACAATGCAGGATCTTTTGCCCAACGTGGGGCTTGAACCCATGACCCTGAGATTAAGAGTCTCATGCTCTACTGACTGAGCTATCTCAGGCATTTGACCAGTCCCATAATGGTCACAATAAGGTTACAGCAGGAGGACAAATGCTAATCAACAGGTTTGACACTTAGATGGCCCTTACAGTGGTATCTTGAATTACAGGCGCTTCAGGTTACATACGCTTCAGGTTACAGACTCCGCTAACCCAGAAATAGTACCTCGGGTTAAGAACTTTGCTTCAGGATGAGAACAGAAATCGTGCCGCAGCAGCAGGAGGCCCCATTAACTAAAGTGGTGCTTCAGGTTAAGAACAGTTTCAGGTTAAGAACGGACCTCCAGAACAAATTAAGTTCTTAACTAGAGGTACCACTGTACTAGCTGGACCATAAAGAAGACTGATCACCGAAGAATTGATGCTTTTGAATTATGGTGCTGGAGGAGACTCTTGAGAGTCCCATGGACTCCAAGAAGATCAAACGCATCCATTCTTAAGGAAATCAGCCCTGAGTGCTCACTGGAAGGACAGATCCTGAAGCTGAGACTCAAATACTTTGGCCACCTCATGAGGAGAAGACTCCCTGGAAAAGACCCTGATGTTGGGAAAGATGGAGGGCACAAGGAGAAGGGGACGACAGAGGATGAGATGGTTGGATAGTGTTCTCGAAGCTACCAGCATGAGTCTGACCAAACTGTGGGAGGCAGTGGAAGACAGGAGTGCCTGGCATGCTCTGGTCCATGGGGTCACGAAGAGTCGGACACGACTAAACAACAACACCACTGTACTAAGAAATAATGACATCAACTTTTTAAAAATGTGATATATTATTTTAATTCTGCCCATCCTCCACAGGACCCACATTATCAAGCATACTACCCATTCCCCATTATTCTCCTTGGAACAGCCCTGTGAAGCAGGCTGTGCAAACTGTGTGCAACTAACCCAACATCACACCATAAGCTTCATGACTGAATGAGGAACCGAACCAGTCCCAGTGGCTTCTGTAACTGATGGCAGCTTACTCACAGAAGCTTGTGTGCCTGTTTGGAAATGCCTGCAGTTTCATCTGGTAGCCAAGGGGGACATTTTTCCATGCTCCTAGGTCCAGCCCCCCCCCCCAATAGGGCTAGGGAGCTGAAATAAAAGAGTGATCTTCTACACCTTTATTCAGTGTTAGTCATACTCAGAACAGACCCACGGAAATATGCTGACTTAAATAACTGAAGTCCACTGGTTTCAATGGGTCTACTCAGAGTATGACTCAGCTGGCTATCGCTCAGGGGCTTACTTCAAATATCTGAGTATTTAACATGGTTAATTGTCCAACATGTCAAGCCTAATCCTAAACTACAGTTTTTGTGGGATTCAGTGTCCAGGTTTAAACATACAGTTGTTAAAACAGGGCTGCAACTTTGGGAAAGTAAGGCAGAAGTACCCACATTAACAGATGTACAATAGGTGGAAATTAAATAGCTGCATCTTTCTCCATCCTATACTGTACCTGCAATGATTTATTTTGGAGGGGGCACTGTTCACATCAAATTTGGCTGTCACCTATGCTAAGGTCATGTGATTTTAAAAATATTTTTTTTAAAGTTTTTATATTATTGTAAACCCCTGTGAGATATATATATATATATATATATATATATATGCAAACAAATAAATAACAGAAAATGTTATTTACCCCAACCAATTTGCAGGTGAACAGAGGACAAGGAAGAATAAAAAATAGAAATGAACTGTAAGTGTTCGGTTTTCAGAGAATGAGAGACTTTCGGATCTCTGCTAATCAGCAACCTCCCAATTGACCAGTCCACCCAGTAAAAGTGGTACGCAACAACATTAAGTTGTGAGCTTGCGTCCAACACGCAGCCAACTGCACGGATTAACAGTTGACCAGGAAGCCATCCTAAATATGTTTTATTCAGAAGTTTATTCAGAAGTTTATTCTAAACCGGGGATTTACTTCCAAGTACTGAGGAGAACAATCTCCAAACCACCACAGCGCCATGAAGCTCAGTGGGGTGAACCCCAGCTGATCCCCCTCCCCAGCCGTTTCTCAACCAATCTTACCGTTACTGTCGCGAGATTAAAGGGGGGGGGGGAGAGGGGAGAGAAAGGAAGGAAAGAGAGAAGGTATATGCCACTCTAGGCTCCTGAGAGGAACAGCGAGGCATCAAAGCGGCAATAACAAACATTTTTAAGGATGCAGCCTTATAAATGGTAATGAAACTACAAGAACAGTAAATAGCAACCTCGATTTTGCTTCTTTGGGGTCTGCCGTCCGTCCTTTCCTGCTACCCGCCCCACGCGGTTATCTCCTTCCAAATTCTTATTATATATTCTTATTAGTTGAACTTATTAGTCGCTTGTCACCCAAGGTCTCCAAGAGACTTACACTGAAATATCTATATGCATAAATATATTACACCACACAAATCTCTACGACTGCCAAAAGTAATCCTTGCCTTCCTTCCTCCGCTGGCCTCCGAGGCTACTTCTGCGCGCTTGCCGGGTTTAACAGCCCAGCGAGAGCCGTTTGCACCCGCCGAGAAAAGTCCCTACGAAGAACCTACCAGACACTGCACAGCGACGCTTCCGGGAAATCCCACCACGTGGGAGCCTCACGGGGGCGGCCATGATGCCGTGACGTCATCCCTCAGCGCCGGACTCGCTTCAGAACTTTTATCAGGCTGCCTGTCTGGCTGCCTCTCCAGCATTGGGGAAGGCTGCGGTTGCTGCGTTGGGGCGGTCATGTCTCTGTGGAAAGGGTGGGGGGAAGCACAGGATGAGGCATCCGATTCTGCTGGTTGTTGTTATCCGATGGTCGGTTTAGATGAGCGTTATTGCTCTGGTATATGTTGAGTGGAGTTTTGGAGGAGTTATGTTATCAGGAAGGGCTCTTCCCCACCCCCGTTGCTTAATTATGGCTGTTTTATTGTTGTTGTTGTTGTTGTTGTTGTTGTTTTATCCTCAGAGAATGTTCAGCACTTCATTAGCTTGAGTAACCGAGGAATAAAGGTAAAGGGACCCCTGACCATCAGAGTCGTGACTGACTCTGGGGTTGCGGCGCTCATCTTGCTTTATTGGCGAGGGAGCCAGCGTGCAGCTTCCGGGTCATGTGGCCAGCATGACTAAGCCACTTCTGGCGAACCAGAGCAGCGCACGGAAACACCGTTTACCTTCCCGCCAGAGTGGTACCTATTTCTCTACTTGCACTTTGATGTGCTTTCAAACTGCTAGGTTGGCAGGAGCAGGGACCGAGCAACGGGAGCTCACCCCATCGCGGGAATTCGAACCACCGACCTTCTGATCAGGAAGTCCTAGGCTCTGTGGTTTAACCCACCGCGCGTCCCTCTCCAGCTAATCACAGATTAACAGGAGAATGGTATTGCACACTTTCTGAGCACTTGTGCTCTCATGCCCGTAGTCTCAGTCTGAATTGTTTGGCCCTGTATTTTTTCTTATTAAAAGTTGCTGAAGTCTTTCACCTTGTATTGTTGTTGTTGCTGCTGCTGCTACTGCTACTTTTAAAATTGATTTTATTAATTATTGAAAAGGAGGGATGAGAAATGGCATCCAAAAAACATTCCCCCTCCTCCCAAACCCAAGCCCATTTCGCAATTTTATTTTTTTAACAATGTCCTCTATAGAATAGCAGATTGAAGCAGTAAAAATGTCAAAGTGTATTCAATAAAATAAAATCATAATTTCCTAAGTTGTCCATTTTCTTAATGTTACCGTCTTTCACGTGACCTATTTGCCCATTTTCCCATAAACGCCAGATTCAAATCTTGTGCACAACAAACTGCGAATAAATCCACATCCATCTACTGTTACTTGTCCTTCACCAAAAGGTCCAATTCTTGCCATTTCAAAATGCAATATTAAAAACAGTTTAAATCAAATTAGTCACAAGAATAGGGCAGGTTCTTGGGGGGGGGGGGAACCATACATAGCTCAACAGTAGAGCATATGCTTTGACTACAGGCTCAATTCTGCCTTTCCACTTAGGGGGGAAAAAACAGGTTGTAGGTGCTGGGAGAGATCTTTTTCAGGGACACTGGTGAGTAGCTGCCAGTCAGAATAGCAAATACCGGACTTAATGGGCGAATAGTCTGGCTTGATTTGGACAGCTTCCTAACTCTACATATTGTGCATTGAATTCATTTATGGTGCTGGCTGGGCTTTGCAGAGGAGTAGAACTACTGTGGCATCTGCAGCCCTCCTGTTCAGGATGGATATGGCAAAAGTGCAGGCAGGATTATATAGGCCTGGATTAGATCTAATACTGTCAAGTGATAGCAGTGGAAACAGCTTGGTTGCCCCAGATTCCAGGAATGCCCTTTGGTTGGTTGGTTTTCTTGCAGATAGCTATCCCAACTTCAGCTGGTGGGGAGTCAACTGGGAGAGGTGGGCAGATAAACCTCACCACCTAATCCACCTACATTCTGTTCAGTGCTAAGTGTGTGTGCATTGCTTTGCTATTGCTCGATCATGGGTTTAAAGCCCACGTGAGAGGGTTGAGGAGCATCACAAACCAGTCTTGGTCCCTGCTAATAAATCTTGCTGCTACATCTCCACCTTAACAACCATACATTGGGTGAGCATGTGCAGGAGCCCTGTGCATGTACCAATGCACATCACATTTCTCCATCTGAGAAAGGACTCTGACTCAGAATACCATCCTTACACAGAAGAGCTGTGAGTGCCTATGTCAGTAGAGTCATACCTCGGATTACAGACGCTTCGGGTTGCGCAATTTTGGGTTGCGCACTGCGCCGAACCCAGAAGTACCAGAACGGTTACTTCCGGGTTTTGGCGCCTGCACATGTGCAAAAGTGCTAAATCGCGACCCGTGTGGGTTGCATGTAAACACTGCGGGTTGCAAAAGTGCCTTCCGCATGGATCATGTTTTCAACCCAAGCGTCCACTGTATACACAAGTCCCCCTTCTCATGGTTGCTGCACATGTGGCTGGCGGTGTGTGTGGCCTGCTAGCCGACTGACATGTTGGACGGACATGTGACGGGCTGATGGAGCAGCAGTTCTTACCTGCAATCATAGTTCTACTGAGTCAAGCGGCTGCCAAAGGCCCATCTAGTCCAGCATCCTGCTCTCACAGTGGCAAGCCAGATGTTTTTGGGACTCCCCCAAGCAGGACATGAATGCAACAGCAGTCTCCCCCATCAGTAGCCTTGGACAGCTGTGAATTTCCTGGAATTCTCTTTGCTGCCCAGCTGTTATGAGAGCAGCCCCATCTTCCGCTGCATCCAGTAACCTTAAAATAGTCCTCACCACACTGATAGAATTAAGGAACAGGGAGTGCAGAACTCCTCTGGCGTGCTGTGCACTTATATCATTTCCCTTTAAGTGTCTGCTGTTCTGACCCAGCAAGGCTGTTAATGTTCTTAATACAATGGCTGTATGGATTTGAATGTCACTTCAAGCTTCACCTAAGAAAGAACCATGTTATTTTCTCTTACTTTTCCTATTGTTCTCCTTCTCTTGCCCTCCCCGCACCTCCGGTGTTTTTCACTGAGAGAAGGGGCATGTGGAGAGTAACATGATGAACGGAGGGGGGGGGAGTTCCAAGTAGCTAAAGTGCACTGCCAGAAGACACAGCATGTTATTTTCCCCTGTGTGATCGAGAGCATTTTGCAGGTTGATCTTGGCAAAAAAAATATCTACGGCTTAAATTATACACCAGAAACAATGGAGAGTTAAGCATGAAGACAGACAGATGGCCGGAACAGCTTCTCTTATACTATGACACATAGGCAGAGACAGCAAACAGGAGATTTCTGGAAGGGAAAGGATGGGGCCAGACAGTGAAATGCAATTATTGCAATAATTAGTATGATTTCATCTCTCTAAGACTATCTCCAGTTGCTTCTCAGTCATTGGGGTGCTTGAAAATTATTCCTTGATGCATCCGTATTAGTAAAGAGAGGCTGAAAAGCAGCACCTTGAAACCATTTTCTGTCTAGGAAATCATCACTATACATTACCTCAGAGGCACAGGCATAAGGAGATTGAACCACTCTGCCAACTCTTTAGGCTTTGAGGAGGACTGTTCAGGTGGCTTCTGCAACTGTGCTTTTAACAGAGACTTGATATGCAGGGATTATGCTTTTCAGAGCAGGAGAAAGATTTTATCATCTGCTAAGGGACGCGGGTGGCGCTGTGGGTAAAAGCCTCAGCGCCTAGGGCTTGCCGATCGAAAGGTCGGCGGTTCGAATCCCCGCGGCGGGGTGCGCTCCAGTTGCTCGGTCCCAGCGCCTGCCAACCTAGCAGTTCGAAAGCACCCCCAGGTGCAAGTAGATAAATAGGGACCGCTTACTGGCGGGAAGGTAAACGGCGTTTCCGTGAGCTGTGCTGGCTCGCCAGATGCAGCTTTGTCACGCTGGCCACGTGACCCGGAAGTGTCTCCGGACAGCACTGGCCCCCGGCCTCTTAAGTGAGATGGGCGCACAACCCCAGAGTCTGTCAAGACTGGCCCGTACGGGCAGGGGTACCTTTACCTTTATTAGCTACAGATCAAGCTGCTGTTACAGTAGGGTAGCCATGTGTCCAACTTTACAGCCCTCTATTTCAAGGGAGGTCAAGAAGGTCCTATGAAGGGCTCTCTGGTCCTAGTCCAGTTTAAAAATAACAAAACTAGAGAAAGAGGAGCAGGGGATTTGAAGATGCCCATCAGCAATTACCATCCGGATAGGAGACTGAGCAGGCACACAAGCCACTATCTTCTCAGTTATGGTGAGATGTGTTTCTAGTAATTATTCTAGTAATTATTTATAAATGTGCATCTATAAATATAAATTAGACTATGCAAGGTTTACGTTAATTTTTTTGGCCGCTTTTTTGTGTGATGCATCCCCCCCCCCTTTTTTGGCAACACATAAGTTGCCCTATGTTATAGGCACAGCTGCAGAAGCCCATTGGAAAATTGGGAACCCTATTAAAATCTATCATAACAAAGAACTGATGACCCCAATTTATTATTTGTTTGTTTTGCAAAGTGTCACCTTGCCTGGCAGCTCCTCAAAGTGGATGACGCAAGTCCAGTAAAAATGAAAAAATGCAGAATTAAACTCAACATAAAAAAGACTTTGATCTACAACATGCTTACTGACACTTCCAAATAACGCTAATAGCATTGTGAAACAGGGCTTGTCCTTCAGAAGCCATGCTGGCTCTCCTTCAGCAAGGTTCATTATATGCTTGTCAACTTTTAAAAAACAAAACAATAAATTCCACCAGTTTTTGCAGGAAAAATGTTAAGCTAACCAGCCTATAATCTCCAGATCCCCCCGCATCCTTTTTGCAATATTGGCATTACATTGGCTTCTTTCCAATTCTTCAGAAATGGAGACTAATCTGAGGGACAAGTTATGTGTTTCCATTAGAAGATCAGCAGTTTCACATTTGACTCCTTCCTCCTTGAAGCATTACGCCTTCACATCGACAGAATTACATATCATGCCAGTTCTTCAAAGTACAATACACTTTAAAGAATTTGAAAGTTGTAACACTTGAAGTTCCCAGTCTTCCCTACCAGCTGCACAAACATTGTTACATAAAAAGAATTCAGGGCCTTAATGAATTAAACAATTTTTTTGTCAAGCCTCTTCTGCAACTTAACTGGAAAACGGTTTCCACTTATAATTTTTCAATGCTATTACAATCACCTTATGAGGAAATCCCTTCCACAGAAATTGCTTGTGTCAATTGATTTTGAACCTCAAGGAGACATTTCCT